TTAGACATTGCTGGTTTTACCTTCTGTTGGGAATATCTCTGTTCTGCGCATATTTTTGTTTGAGCTGGCTGCTTGCTGCTGCTGCTCTCTTGTTAGTAATTTATCAAATTTTGGGGGTGAGGTAAAATAGAGATATAACATATAACTATCTCTTAATGACGTCTTAAATCTCGTATCCAGATTGATTTCATACTTGTATACCAAGGAGGATTAACTTAGGAACTCTTTGTCAGTAGTGGACGTGCCCTGCTGCTGTGATTATGAAGGAGCTTTATGTAAGAGTTTTCTTGGTGACCTGAAGTATCCATGTCTTGAAGGGGACCTGTTTTTAACATGCTTGTTAAAAGCAGGTGAAAAGTTCATGTCCAACATGGTTAAAAGTTTTCAATTTGAATGACTTTCACTTTTACTTGCAAGATAGCAAGTGCAGAAAGGACATCATTTGATGAGAATATTAATTGCAACCACATCTCCAAGGACTCACTGCCATGAAGCAAAGAAAAGCACAGATGGATGGCATTATGTATTGCTGTACCAGAACCCAGCAGCTTGCTTTCCTGTCTGTGGATCTATGGCATATATTAATACCTTATGAAATCTCGATATGCAATCAGAACAAAAAAAAATGAAGAGTGGTTGGGTGGGAACTCCATCTTTCCCATTTATTCCAACTTCTACTTTTCTACTCTTTTCATTTGCATGCACCAACTAGGAGAGCACAATTAGTAGAAACTCATTGAGCGTTTCAGAAAGATTCGCATTTCCAGTTGTTATGGGTTCTCAAAGTGCTCACCCTAAAACAGCCTTTTTATGACTTTGGGATAATTTTAGCTCGACAAGACATGTACCAGCCAATTTGCTAGCAATCTGTGAGATCCCTTGACAGCAATTTTATTTTACTTTATTATGTTATATAATTGATTTTTGGGAGACTTTGGAAAAATACAAAAGAGAGAGAAATTTTGTAAAATAAGCAAAAGTAGACAAAATTACCCTTATTTAATTTTGGATTTCTTAAGGAATCCTTTACATTTGCATGTCTTTGATTTGAAAGTTAAGAGGTTTTTCTGTCTTTTTTCAAAAAACTTTGGCTTTTTCTAAAAGTGAAATTTTTTTTTTGGCTAAAACCTAAATTTACTTTGATTTTTTAAGGGCAATGATTTCCCCACTCCTATTTTATCTACTTACACTCCTTTTTTAGTTATTAAAAAGGAGTGTAAGTGGATAAAATAGGAGAAAAAGGAGTGGGGAAATCACCACTCTTTTTTAATTGTTTGAAAGTAAAGAAGTTAATTACTTTTTGGTCCATGCTAAAAGTGGGCTCCACCTTGTCACATCACCAAAAGTATTGAATAAATAATCCATGTGTATGAAATTACAACATTCCTGTCGCATCATCAATTTTAATAGATTTTTGGATGGAGTTGACGATGTAGGGCAACGTGGAATATCAAACCTTAATTAAGGGGGCAAAATTGGTCACTTTACCTTTCAATGGGCAAAGTAAGGTTTTACTATAATTTCGGGGGCACAACCGTAAACTAACCTTAATTATCTAGATAAATTTTCTAGAATGCTTGACCTAAAATAAATAAATAAAATCAAGAATGCTGGCATAACAATCATTGGGATAAAATTTGTTGACTTTTGATTTCCTCCCCCGACAATGAAAGGACCAAGATTGATTCTATGCGTATTGCAACATATGTTAGCCAGCAAAGGGAAAAAAAACGTCTTGACGTTGTTGGTTTGTTTTAATCAACCCCTTGTATTAGCAGTACAAAAATAAAAGATAATTTTGTTATCTTTGAATGATAATTTTTTTTATCTTTGAATGGGAGTTGTTATTGACACCCAAGAAAATCTTCGGCTCTACTTGAACATGAAAATATAAGAGAAAGATAATTTTTTTCCGAATGCCAATAACAACTCTATTGAATTCGTAATGCATAGCTCAAACTAAAAGTAACTTCATAACAAAATCAGCAAATGTCTAAATTCAATAAAGACACAACAGTTTGAAAGAAAATTACCTAAGCAAAAGCCTTTTTTTTTTTAAAAAAAAAAATTCCCAAAAAGAAATTCTTAAACGATCAGACATAGAAAAGCAATATCCATTGCAAAACCCTAATCCTGAATCCAAGGTTGAAGAAAACTGAAAGGAAAGTTCAAATATCCTAAAAATAAGGTCTTAAGCGCTTAATTTGCCTTTAACATCGTTCGAGGAAGTCAAATCCCGAACCCCTAATCTCTTAATTAAGTTACAAATTAAGGATCATGTAAGGTGCGCTCTTGACTTCTCTCTCTCCTCCTGTGTATAAGCCCAAATCCCTTACCACCATCTGTGTCTCTGTGTTCTCTCCTTTCACCTTCCTTCCTTCACCTCAAAACACTGCCAAAAAAAAAAAAACATAAATAATTATTAGACAGACCAACTAAGAATTGGTTGTTACATGTGTAACAAATGTAATATATGTGACATGTACAATTACTTTACCTAAAAATTAACTAAAGTTATGTCATGAAATTCATGCAGTGTCGCAAGACAATGCAGCTTTGATCCTCTCCACAGTGCAAGCAATCAGATTGTTAACTGTTGCCACCGATCCAAGAGAGAGCTTGGCGGTGGGGACAGAATCAACCAGAATCTGAAAGGCAACAGTGAGAAGGGAACCACCAGAGCCAGAATCTCCCATGCCTCCTCCATCTGGAAGGATGGCAAAGCCAGAAGGAAGAAGAGCAACATAGTCAGGGTCACTCCCATTTAGTACCACATTCATGGCAACAATGTCCACTGGAGCATAAATCACAAAAGAAGCTGTTTGGTCTGTGCAGCTCTCTTGCAGTATCAGCATGTTGCTCTGGCTTGAATTCGCACTCTACAAAATTGAGTTCATTTTTAAAAGGGCAAGGTTAATAATTTATCAATTGTGATTAAGAGCAGAATATGGATTAATTAAGAAAATTAAAATAATTATAACAATAAGATCAAGCTACATTTACTCGAAGTAGAGACACGCAGTTTCCAGTGTCGCGACCATTAGCAATGTGTGCCATTTCTTGAACAATTCCACCATTGGAAAGAATGTCCCACTGCAACCACAAGTGATCATGAAGCACAAGTAATTAGTCGAACCAATTTCTATATGTATTTCTTGAATAATTTTAGAATACTAAACTTCCATCTTGGTTTTTCTTGGATTGACCGAAAAGAAAACAAGACCACACATTTTTCTTTTTCTGAAAAAAACATGTTTCCATATTAGGAGTGATGTGAAAATCATACACATTTTCCATTTTCAGAAACATTACTTGAAATGTGCATGTGATTTCCATATATGCTAATGCTTGTCCATTAATGGTAAAACTTTGTATGCATATGCCATTTAAAGAATGAAACCAACCGTATCCTGGCATCCATATATATCGCTAGCTTTTATTGGCAAGTTGTTTTTGTATTTAAGAAGTTATGGTTCTGGTTCATGTACTAGGTTTGGTACATTATTCTGAGATCTGATACATCATCCTAAGGATCGAAGGATAATTAACTCACATACCTCATTACGAGAGTTCTCATCACGGAGGAATTCAAATACCCTTTTGGGAGGAACTGGAAGCCAGAAAGATGTGGCGGCGCTGAGCACAATACCGGG